AGGACGTTTTTATCTCCCAATGTCTACAAAGAAAATAGATCACTACTCCTTCACTCTGTAAACATTACATTGGTTTATCTTTGGTATAAAAGCTTTTGTGACTTTTGAGAGTAGAGGAAGTAAATAGCCTAGGACACTCTTCTGTACCACAAAATAGGAATCTAAATCCCTAGGATTTTTATTGCTATTTCCATGCACAAGCCATGTACGTTCACAGCTGTACCCTGTAGTCTCCTAGCTGTTTTTGCAGCTCTGCCTGATGGTCGTCTTCTATATCTTTGCCTTGGTTTTGTTCCAGCAGTGGCAGAAAGTTACGTAGGGTAGAGGTACAGTATCTGTTCCAACGAGTTAGATGCCTTGGTCTCCATTCCATAATCTTCTCTTTTAATATTTTTTCAATCCTGCAATAAAATATAATGATTATTACAATTCTAGTACTTATTAGACATCTGAACTGACCTCCCTTGACACACTTAGCACAGGTTATGGGGAACACAAATGACCTTGGTTAAATTTACCACTACCTAAAAGCACAGAAAAGCAATGCTGACGTAGCTATATGGTGCCTGCGTATTTGTAACAGAGTGGGAGGTCAGGGGCTTACAGCCGTGTAGTCTGTGCCCTCTCTTCTCCCTCTGGAGAGAGGAGAAACAATGTAGGACACTGTACAACAATGCTTGATTCCTTCTATCTGATAATCTCTACGAAAGAGGAAATTTAAAGAAGCCCTGCAAGTTACACTTTCCAATTTTAGGCCATTCTCGATTCCTAGCGTTCAGATAGGGTTTTTAGGACCTAAGTATGAATATGCTCCCAGAATCCATGAGGGTGCACCACCTTCAGTGACCAGCACTGGCACTGACTGTTTGTTTTAGGGGTAGAATTACCTGCCCTGTAGTTCCACCGCAGCAGCCTTGTCCGAATGCTGATAAACTAATTCTTCAGGCTAGCAAAAAGTAAAAAGTTTAAATATTAAAAGGCACAATCTCTTTTAGTTACAGCAATGTAACTTCAGGCATTGATGGTACTTGCATGTGTTCACAATTATGGTACAACAATCTATTACTTAGTAGAGACATAATAAAAACAATGAGATATTTGCATGTAGTGCTAGCTTTTTTGGTCTTTTCCCAGTAAACTTCAACTGCCTATACCTTTGAACTAGAAAAATTCCTGTTTGTTTACTAAGGATGTACTTAGTTTACTAAAGATGTTTACTTACAGCTTGAAATAACACCTTCCTAGCTGTAAGACAAAAGTTGACATTTTCTGTATAACACTAAGCCCTTCTTTGGTAAGATTCTGTTAAAGATTTGTCCTGTTCACTTTACTGTTGCCCTGAGATCTTACAGGGATAGTTAAAGGACAACAGCTGTGCATTCATTCTGTATAAAAAAAAAAAAAAGGAAAGCAGGACTATGGCAAAGTATTCAGTGTAAGAAGTGCCTGGGAAAATCTTTTTAAAACCCGATGTTATTACATAAATATACTTAACCACAGAAGTCCGAAGAACTTAGTCTCTATTTCTTTATACTAAATCTCTGATCTCTCAACCCCTCAAATCGAGACAGTAATAGATACATGAATACCTGAATGCTGCAGAGACCAGGGTATGGCAAGCTTCTTGAAAAGAAAGGCTTCCAAAGTTTGGGTTTGCTGATATCAAAGTTTATCCTTACTGGGGAATCATATTCTTGCATATTAAACCAAATCTACAAGAGAGCAAGTTTGTTTTAACTTTCTGCATACAATCACAGCCACTTCTATGGCAATAAAACACTGCAGATTCTTGGCCTCCTATTGCAGTTACCAGTGTGAATTCGTGTAAAACAAGGCAAGCTTGTATAGTCACTGCTGACGTGCAACTTTCGCATTCTTGTATCGAAAGGGATGGTGCTGGTCGTGGTGTCTTGTGCTTCTGAGCGTGATTCAGACCAGTGTACGAACAGAATCGCTGTCTGCAGTTGGCAGCTCTTCCTGCTCAATCTTTGTTTTCTCCAGTTATTCCCTCTTCAACACCTCATCCACTGTGCACCATGGCAGTAAAAATGCTTTCAGAAACTTTCTACTGGTACCATCACTTGAGCATCACATGGTGTTGGGTTGCAGTATACGTCATAGTTTTGTCTGCTGTCCTGAGCTGTGTTTCCAGCCCCCTGGGGTGCTACACAAGCCCCTTCTGAATTTCTTCCAACAGCCCAGCACAGTGCAGCTGCGGCTGTGATGCCTGGTAGCCTGCTGCACCCCAGCACCACTGCTCTTTCAAGCTTGTGATGCAGAATGTAAGTAGATATTGCAGACACAGCCACTGTGTGTATTTTGTCATCAAGGGGAACCCACGTCTTGCACCCCACTTTATAGACATTCAGTTTGGTCTGTGCTTGAGCCTCGTCTGAAAGATGCAAGTGTTGTAGGCTTCTTGTTCAAAGCAACCTTTAAGTAACTACTGCTAGGGCTGCAAAATGTACTAACAATTAATATGGAAGCGTACTAATTAATCTGTAACCTTTTGTAACAGATGCTTCCGTGTACAGCCTGTATGACACAGCACTGCTGGCTTTTCCTGTTGGATATGAAGTGGCTTCACTCGGCTGGCAGCACATCTGCTCAGTCCTACATCAACTGGAAGATGCTGAGCTCTGTAGTTCAAGGTGAGCTGATGAGGCTGTCAGTGCTCAAGTCCTCAGCTGCTGCTTCCAGCAATTAACAATTCAGTTAAATTTTTATCAACTGTAGGTTTAGTACTACTTCAGAAAAACCCCAAACCACCTCATCCACTGCCCAGAACACTTTCAATGAAAGACAGAACTGATGCTTTAAAAGCAAATATGCTTTAGAATATAAAATTCTCATCCAAAGTCATGATTTGTGTTTAGAATAAAACCCCAGAAAATTAAAAAAACAAACACACAAAACTTAAAATGCATAATGCTTCAAAGGACTTCTCCAGGTATGTTTTCAATACAGAAAATAACAGCACACACTTGCTGTATTTTGGTGCACAATGGAAGCCTGACTTGCCATTCCCTTATAGCACTTCCAAAAACTGACGTGCAGGCTTTTAAACTCTACTTTGGTTTTCATTCAAATAAAATCCAGGGTTCTCTTTTTAAACTCATCTTCTGCTTCCTCAGTTGCAGCCTTTCACACCTCTCTCTGCCTCGCTATCCTGTCCCTAAAAGCTGTGAGGGTTGGCTTCCAGCCAAGTCAGGGAACATGCCAGCATGACACTGCCCAGGGTTTCCGTCCCCTCTGCCCATTCTGTGGTTGTTGGTTCACCTGCCCTGAGCTGAACAGCTCTTACAGTGTGTTCTCTCTCCTCTCCCCACACTGCTCTCTCTCAGAGGGCTTCCAGCCACACACAGAATAAAACATTGTAAACAGGCACTTGTATTACTTGTATTTTATAGCAAATAAACAGGAGGACTTGACACCAGGCAGAAAATCAATATGGTTTCTGTGCCCTGTAGTGCCAGCTCTGTGTTTCGCACCTTGAACCATTCAGGCCTGTCCCTGCCATTACATAGGCAACTCAAATGACTTCTTCCAGTATGCGTTATTTTTCATTTTTCAGTTACATTTCACCTGCAAAGCATTAGCCTTGATGAATTACTACTCCTCAGCTAAATAGTGGTTGGGGAACATGTAAGTAAAAGCCAGTAACAAAAATTATATGAACAGGTGTCATGATCCACCTAAATGCTGATTAAAACAAATAAATCTTTCTTCAGAGTATTCAGTATTTAAAGTATTTAAAGTAGCTGAAAAACCTATTAAGATTGAATAAAATCACTAATAACATGACAGCATAAATGCAGTTACATCGATAAACAAATGATGCATAAGGTAAAGAAAAAAATATCAAGTTATTAACTCCTATGTGTACAGGAATGTGACAAGACTGGGTACACTTACATTGTCACAGCTGATCAGACAGTACACATTTTGTAAGGGGCAGAAAGTATCATACTGCCTGTAGAAACATCCAGTACGGGGATTCCAAATTACATATTGACTTTGTTCCAAAGTTAATACATATGCAGTTGATCCCTAGGAAGAAAAAAGAGATGTTTCAAAACTGGCTACAAAGACAGTATGTTTTGTATTGTTTGGAATATTAAACTCTTACTACTGAGATTAATAGTACTTTTTTGGACAAAGTGGCTGGAAGAATTTACAGGTTCACTACAATTCAACAAACTATCACTTACACAGTAACGCATTCTCTGTCTGTTAGACATACGCAGCCCCGAGCCCTTCTTAAAGTACAGATTCTGAAAGTCATTTTGTTTCAGCCACGAACTGATGTGAAATTCCATACACAGCAACATTTAATGTGTGCCGCTTCCATATCAGCATGTCCTACTTGGCTACTGGCACAACTCTCATCCACGGGCAATCTCTGAGTGAAGGACTCCCGCCTTGGCAGCCCACTTTATGTCTCAGCCATCCGTGTTCCCTCGTACTGGCACGCAAGGAATTTCCCAGCTATATTTCTTATATTCTCTTATCAGGAATCCTTGAACTGCTCTTCTGTTTTCATTTTGCAGGCATCTTGAAATACCTAGAATGATTCCCCTCCTTTCAGCATGCATAAGCTGAATGCTTTATTAAGGACTACCATCTCCATCAGAGTTGGAGTGGAAGGATCTATTCCTACCACTGCAGTATCTCAGAATGTCCTGAAGAAACTAGTCTTGACAGGGATTTTTACCAAAATTCAGTTCAGCAAACCTTTCACATGTGCTTGGTAATTTGAGATACTTAATGGTGGAAATTTGCATTATAAATGGTCTCAGCATCTCTTTGGAAAGAGCAGTACTGTTCACTTGGGAATCTGAATGCTTCCCTGAGAACCATGCATCTCCTAATAGGGAAGAGAAGCTAAATGTTTTAGTTCTCAGCCGGTCTAAGCCAGGTTGCTGCCACAGTGGGCTCACAGCGATGACAGGGCACCAGCAGAGTGCCTGACCCACCTGTGTTACAGAAGGCAGATGAAGATTGACTGGTGAAGCCTGGACAGGTCTATCGTTACTCTTGCTGCAGCTTTGCCATCAGCAGGAGAGAGAATGAAGAGACAGGTGTGTTCCATGAAGAATCCCTGGCAAGTCCCTAACCCTCTCCTGCCACCTCTTCCATCTTTACCCAGTCCCACCCCGACTCTGTGGGTGGTGGAATACAGCCTGTCTGTTTCACAACTGAGGTGCTGTGAATGGATTGTCTCTAATACCTTTGTCCTGGACACACCATTTACCATAGAATCGTTTAGGTTGGAAAAGACCTTGAAGATCATCAAGTCCAACCGTTGGCCTAGCACTGTCAAGTCCACCACCAAACCATGTCCCTAAGCACTACGTCTACATGTCTTTTAAATACCTCCAAGGATGGAGACTCAACCACTTCCCTGCGCAGCCTGTTCCAATGCCTGACAACCCTTTCACTGAAGAAGTTTTTCCTAATATCCAATCTAAACCTCCCCTGGCACAACTTGAGGCCATTTCCTCTCGTCCTATTGCTTGTTACTTGGGTAAAGAGACCAACACTCACCTCGCTACAACATCCTATCAGGTAGCCATAAGGTCTCCCCTCAGGTTCCTTTTCTCCAGAATAAACAACCCCAGTTCCCTCAGCTGCTTCTCACAGGACTTGTTCTCTAGACCCTTCACCAGCTTCATTGCTCTTCTTTGGACGCACTCCAGCACTTCAATGTCTTTCTTGTAGTGAGGGGCCCCAAACTGAACACAGTATTTGAGGTGCAGCCTCACCAGTGCCGAGTACGCGGACGATCACTTCCCCAGTCCTGCTGGCCACACTATTTCTGACACAAGCCAGGAAGCTATTGACTGCCTTGGCCACCTGGGCACGCTGCTGGCTCATATTCAACTGGCTGTTGACCAAAAGCCCCAGGTCTTTTTCTGCCGGGCAGCTTTCTGCTGCTTTTCCCCAAGCCTGCAGCGTTGTATGGGGTTGTTGTGACCCAAGTGCAGGACCAGCCCTGAGCCTTGCTGAACCTCATAAAATTGATAAGGATACTGAACAGAACTGAGCCCTGGGGAACACCACTTGGGATCAGCCACCAACTGGATTTAGCACCACTCACCACAACTCTTTGGGCTCGGCCATCCAGCCCCATTTTTACCCACTGAAGCGTATGCCCATCCAAGCCATGAGCGGCCAGTTTCTCTGGGAGAATGCTATGGGAAACAGCGTCAAAGGCTTTACTAAAGTCTAGGTTGATAACATGCACAGTCTTTCCCTCATCCACCAAGTGGGTCACCTTGTCATAGAAGGAGATCAAGCTAAAGTCCTATAAAGCTATACAAGCTAAAGTCCAACCAAAGTTTACAGATGCTTGGTATTTTACTATGAGGACGATAGCTACTCCTAGATTAAATGTGGAAACACGGGTCCAGGGGAAAAAAAATCAAAACACATGATATTTATACTAAGATATACTTTCAGAAAACCCCCCCCCACACACACACACTCTGAAAAGCATCAGTTCCAGCAGCATCATGTTTAGATAACTTCTTGGAAAAACATGCCAGCAAGAAACAATTCTATCCCTTGGTGGGAACCAAAGACTTCAGAGAATACTCAGTTAATACCCAGACCAAATGAAAAAATCCTCTTACCTCAGGAATAGCATTTCCAATGATAAGCCAGGCTTTCTTCCCCATACCAAGAAAATAATTACACAAGAGCACAGCGTGTTCCTCCTCATCTCCCGCCAGAAGATAAAGAAATTGCTAATTGAGATTAAAAAAAAAAAAAAGTCTTTCTATACAGTTATCAACTGTGTTTTCAAATTACAACATTTAATAACATTTCTTAACACTTTCGAAGCAAAAGCAACCGATCTTTATTGTTTACTGGGCACTGCTTCGGCATGCAGGATGAATGGTGTAAAATCCATAATGCAGATCTGAGATTTTACCACAAGACCCAAGGTCTCTGTCTTTTGAGTTATTCTGAATTTTGCAGAAAAGTTCTGAGAAGTAAAAGCATAATCTATGATTAACTTAATGTCTGCTATTATTCTATACATGACAGGATTTATTTGTTTGTGACAGAGAAGGCTATATATCCCATTATTGCTGACGTTAAATGCAGTGTTTTCGCTGTAGTTCGTTGAAACTACGATGATCAATTTTAAGTCTAGTTTTACAGTCTCGCATCAGTCAGCATCCTTTCACTTGTGCATGACTAGCCATTTTGGATTGTTTTACGACTGGAAAAAAAAAACAACAGGAAAAGCTTAAAGCCTTAAGCGTTCTTAGGGTCAGTCAATTGCAACCTATGAAAGACAAAAATTTTGGCTCATATCAGGATGAGCAACTTTTCTCAAGCTTTGGTCCTCATTCTTTGAAATAAATGGCTTATAAAGAAAAATAGTCCTCATGATAATAGAGTCACAGAATAATTTAGGTTGGAAGGGACCTCAAGAGGTCGTCTAGTACAATCTCCCCCTGAAAGCAGGGGCTGCTAGGATGTTACATCACGTTCAAGAGGATAAAGAACTTCTGTTTAACGCATTACTTACGTCTGATGTACTCCATAAATCACAAATTCCAGCAAATGACACACTATCTGGCAAAAAAGGAATCAAAGCAACGTATCGAGCCACCAGTTCCTGCAAGAAAACAAAACAGAGCAAGTCACCCCTTCAGTTCACAACACGAATATCTAACAATGTGATACTAGATGCGAAGCACAGTGCTGTTTCCACAAGAATCAATGACGAAACGCTGACCAACCTCTTTACAGTAGCAGCTAGCTCATTTTAGAACTTCTATCAAAGACTGATATGATTTACTCCCTTTGAGGTTTGGCATAATTCTTTGTCTTTTAAAGGACAATACTCATTAATGTATCAATTTTTTCCAGAGAAGACAAATATCCCTTTTCAGCATCATTATGGACCGACTGCGCATCACACACAGTCGTTACTATTTCATGTTGTGTATCTAGTTTTTCCATGATAAAAAGCATAGCTACACAAAAAGCATATCAAAATGGTATGTGCCTATGTGTGTGTGCACATGCACATGCAACACACACATTCTGAAATCCATATCCCAGAAACTTCACTGTCTTTTCTAAGTACTTACTGCTGCTGTTTGAGAACTATTTGGGATGGCATCAAGGAGCTCCTGTGGTGGATTCAGAGGTTTGATATATCTGGTAATAAAAACTGTTTTCCCGTTGAGGTCAATGACAGTTGTTAGGCATTGGCGCCTTGGAAACTTTGATGTACATTCAGCTTCATACTTTTCCGCTGCCTGGAGCAATTTCTCATCTTCTTGGGTATCAAACTTCAAGAGACAGTAGAATTTATACAGAAATAGTTTTATTTATAATTTAGGCTTAAGTCTTTACAATGTTTGGCCTTATTTCACCATTTACAGGAGCATAAAAGGAGTGTAAAATTCTTTCCTAATAGTATTTTGAACTTTCCTTGTAGTACATACTTTGGCTCACAGACATAAAAGAAAGGTCAAGGTAATGGAAAACCAGGCAATTTGCATTTACTTATCAATGCACGTAACGACCTGTACCTACAGCTGGCTTTATTAAAGCACTGAAAATGCAGTGAAAGCTATGGCCAAGTAACACTGCAGGGACGAGTATGTAACACCACATATTAATTCAAAGGTAAACAATTATGGTTAGGTACTAATCCTACATGCTACTCACATTGCACTCCATTAAAACCACAACTGAGGTTATGCAGAAAATCCCAGTAATTTTTACATAAATAACACTGCAACAACCCCGCGCAATGCCAAAATATTTGCAGAGAAGGTCCAAGTAATTTTTACACAAATCCTTGTAATTCAGACTTGTCTAAAATTTTAACACTTTTAGATGAGATTTTCCAGAAGCAAATCTCAGACTCAAACACATATATTAACTATATAACAATGACAGTTATTTGCTTATATGTCACCTGTCATCTTTTAAAGGTCTTAGGATCTGTCAAAATAGTTTTTTACGTCTATGTCCCAGTTTTAGCTGGGACAGAGTTTTTTTTTAACAGCCAGAAGAGCTCCCTGTTTTGGTTTCACTCAGAGGCTCACTCTGAGAAGAATGTTGATAGCAAGCTGATGTTTGTGGTTGGAAGTGAAACTCCAAGGACTTTTCAGTGTGCGGAGTACAGAAACACGGCAGGATAAGGGGGGAGCATAGCTGGGACAAGGGGGACACGATTCCCCTTGTCATTTGTGTGGAACTTAAGACTGAGGGCCAAACTGGCCAATTAGTATTCCATATCATGCAGCGTCATGCCCAGTATAAAAGCGAGGGTCAGCCGGGAAGAGGGGCTTTTTTGCGCTTTTGCTCTTTT